CTTATGTAATAGGTCTGGGAACTATACAGCATCCATGCTGGAACAACGTCGAGATAAGTGGAAGAAGGTCAAATTGTTTCGCAGTATCTCTAACGAGGGGGTGGTATCCGAGATGCCGGGTAGGTTCGTGAAGTGAAAAAAACTCAATAAATCTCGGGCAAGATTAGAGGGATTTTTCACTGTTTTTGAACTGTGTTTGCGTATGTTCATACACTCCTTATCCATGGACGGGGTAGGCGTGGCACTTGAACATGGCATAGAGTGGGTTACTCGTGGGATATTCCAATTTGAGACAACTGTCATCTTGTTCTATGTTGGACAGAGACATGATTACAACTGTCCCAAAATCAAAATATCCTACGAAAAGCTTAGCAGCCGCCACGCTCAGACCAAGTACGCAACCACGTCCTACCGCATCTCAAGGATTCGGAGCGTATCTCCCAGCACTTCAGCAATTTCTTGTGGGTATCTAGGGCAGGTCACGTTTCGTGAACTTTCCGCTAGGTTCAACTCTGACCATTTTGCTCTTGTATACGACCCCTTTCTTAACCTACCTATCGTTAATACAATTTTTGCCAGAACGAGGGTACTCATTGTCAGTTCCGATTAACTGCAGAAGCAGTAGTTTTACCGCTACTCCAGCAGGAACGGATTCATAACGAGGGAATGAGAGAAAATGGAAAGTTCCCACGAGGTCAAATGCTCCCTGCCATGTTAACAAATAACCATAATGTGTCCTGATCGGAGGTACGGGAGACATAAGATTAGGTAAGTACTTCTAGGTTCATGAGGCTCGTGTTCAGAATTAGAGGTGGTGCAATGGAGAGTGACATGTTAAGCTGCCAGTTTTTCACATCGCCGTAATGTGTCTTTGCTGAGTCTATTTTTGAGCAATTTTTTAGGGTTCTTCCACTAGAAATGTCACATTCAGCACAGCTGCTCCCTAGTAAAATCGTAATGTGATGTAAAACAGCGAGATTTTCTCACACAGGCGCTATACATAGCACTTCTTGGGCAGAGGTGATCAACTATAATAGCAAATGGCGGAGTTTGTCATGCATGCACGTGGCTCAAACCTGGGATGGGTTTCCGCATAGGTAATCCACGACTTGCACCTTGTCGGGGTAGGTACTTCGTGGTATGGTTTTTGGGCGGTAGGCCAAATCGCATTCAGATCCACTGCCATTCGAAATGAGAGCAGAAGCATGGCGCATACCAAAAATGCCAAAAGTTTCATCCATTTACATTCCTCCTTTTCCTTTTTTTCAGTCCTTATAACACTTGTTCAACCCACTATTATGGACTGCACAATATGTGGGTACTGTTTTAGGTGATGGTGAGCTTCAAAATCGACAAGCAGCTTCAAACGATCAGCAACTATTTTCTGTTCAGCCTTGCTGTTGCAGACATTGCCATAGGTATTCCTTTTCGTTGGCCCCTTGTTTGAAGACAAACTGTACTCTCACCACTGAGGATGGTCCCTTCCATGTGGAAGGTGAATGATTCTACAGCTGCAGTAGCGTGCCACTTTTCCGCGCTAAAAGTCACGGCAAGGGGCTGGACAGGGCACGTGGTACACTGTGGAGTCCAGCAGGGCCTGCATTTGGTCGTTGGGGGGGGGAAGGAGCGGTCGTATCTGATCTGAAGAGATTTTTCTAATCGTTGAATTTTAGCGATTTCCTTTTCACTCGAAATCCCTGAGATCGGGTAGGCGTGGCTGCGTACTTGATTTTAAAATGGCGGCGGCCCAGGTTTTCGTGAGATATTTTCATTTTGGAGCAGTCGTAATCATGTCTACATCTAACACAGAACAAGATAGCAGTTGTTTCAAATTGAAGTATCCCACGAGTAACCCGTCCTATGCCATGCTCAAAAGCCACGCCTACTCCGTCTCAGGGATAAGTAGTGTACATATGATCCTCTCCGGTGGTGAGTGTACAGTTTGAGTCCAACTTTGAAGTCATCTCTGTGATTTGTTACTTTCTATCGTTACTGTGTCCGTATCTTGTTGTGAGGACCTTATTCAGGTATGATTTCAATACCGCTGTGGACGTACTACACAGCGATGCAAACGTGGGGCATCGGCTATACGATGTGCCAGTTTTGGCTCTGCGTTGACTACCTCATGAGTAACGCATCAGTGCTCAATTTGCTTTTAATCTCATTCGATCGGTATTTTTCCGTTACGCGGCCGCTCTCCTACAGACCAAGGTGAGTCAAACTTCTCATATGCCCTAAAGGAACCTAAAACCACTCACTTTAAGGAGGACAACGCGAAAAGCACTGATCATGATTGCTTGTACCTATATCATCTCTGTGATTCTTTGGCCACCATGGATTATCAGTTGGCCTTATATTGAAGGTAAGTCATTCTAAACTTAAGTAATGGATGAATGCCTTCAAGAAAGTCCCAGCTCCCTTGACTAAATGTATCTATGTGACCAACTTGGGTTGATTGACATTAATTGTCTGTTGGTACAGAAGAAACGAAATGGAATTGATTAAAACAGCTAAATGAAACTCTTCTTCTGCCCGCTCATTTGGGGTGGGTATGAGTTAGGAGCCGTCAGGCTATCACAACATCACCGTCGCTCTCTTTTTCCCTGTTATAAGGACTGGAATGCAGATTCAGGACACGTAGAGATGAATGACTCTAGCCACCATTTAGAGGCGGAGCGAAGACCGAGTCGAACGGCGGTTGCTCCTTGCTGATTCGCTTTGAGCGCGCGCTTCACTTCCAAACCCCTCACTTCGCCTCCAAAGCCTCCGACCACACATGGTTGGTCTGCTCCAGGGCCTGTCTTCCATTTACACTAGCCATATGTACTTGATCTAGGCGCTTACTCAGATTATACCCTCCACTGCCCTTGATGAGTGGACTGTGGTATAATTCCTTCCCTTGAAGACCATATACAGGGGGGGGGCAAAAAAAGTCATTCCGGCCGAGTCACATATGAGCGAAGTTTTCGCAGCCCAGACAGAGGAAGTGGATATGAGTACCAGGGCGGAAGATACCCAAGATCTTCCTCTATAAGCAGGAGCCGGCTGCCGCCATTCACCTTCATGTACACCAAAATATGAAGTCATCTCCAGTCGCGGCCTGAGTGGAGAACGCCTTTGGAATTCACGTGGCCTCCAAACAGCTGCGGAACTTCTTGAATGGAATCACCCATGGATAGCTACCTGGAGACCAGTACTCTTGATCTGCAAGACCTCAAACATCGAGCAGCTCCGGCAACGTCGCTACGGTCCAGGACATCATCTTCACCCCATTCACCAAGGCGCGGGTTGATGGTGTGGACCGGCCGTACCTGGAATGGATGAACCGATATTTTCTTCGTGGGCCCCAGACTGAGGGTGTGCGCTGGTGGCTACATCGAGCAACTCGAGGAGAATATCCCATCTTCATGTCGTCGCCCGTACCTTCTTGGAAACTTTGTACTGCTACAGGATTGGGTGACAACACATTTAATCGAAGGGCGTTGGAAAAACTTTCGCCTACTTGGAATGGAAGAACGTTGAGTACCTGGAAAAGATGGAGTATTTAAGCGGGGGTCCTGAACTAAACCCCCTCAATTACTCGGTTCGAGCTCAACAGGGTGGTCTACAGTGGCGGAGAAATCAACGATCTCGCTCAACTCCGGTACCCACTCACTTTCGCGCGGCCGAATCTCTCGATGGCGCTCCTCCAGAAGGCTGTGGCGGAGTATCATTATAGTATTTAATGTGCTCTTTAATATGGTAGTGTCCGATAAAAATTTAATAAAGTGTAACTTATAGCGCCTTGAAAGTCATGGAGGCAAAATGACTTTTTTTGCCCCCCCCCTGTACACTCACTTCGAGGACAATCCGTTCCATGGGCGAGGTGGAAGGAAGCGCAGCTGCAATGGCGTAAGGCTTCATCCACTCAGAAGTGCACGGAAGCGGGGTAGTTCCCCATGCTGCACTATCCTCAGTAGGCAGCATTTGCGTCAATAGCAAGATCGCTCAGCAAGTCACGCACTCATAGATAGAGAACAATCACAAGTGAGAGAGCGTAGACATGAAGCGCGTTCGTCTACACTTAGGGGTGCTGTAGCGGGGGCGGAGTATGGAGACGTCGCTGGGGTATCATAACTTCCCAGCCCGTTTCGTGCACTTTTGACTGGAGAAAGTGGCATGCTACTGCAGCCGCGGACCCATTCACACATTGTACTGAGGTGAATGCACAGTTTGTATTTATCACCGCGCCATCGCCAAATTCGCTGATTCATAGGGCGTCTCCACTTTCTCCTCTCCAAGCCTCATATTCCAGTATGTTCCGTGGAGTTGGCGTAGTGTTAAATAGGTTAGCTAACAACGTGTAGGGCCAAACGTCAAGTTTCGGATCGAATTTCATCGAGTGTAACAAAGCCTTCTACCCTGACAGGTTGACAATTTGGGAAGGCAAAAATGCTGATTTGTGCATGGGGAAGTCTAACGTAAGCCAGTGATGGGTCATCTGAATAGAAGCGCTTCTCCTACTTTTATCCTCTTATCCTTTGATCATCATACATAGGATGTACTATCAGGTCAACTTACCTTTCCGGCTAACAAATTGCGTACGTACACTTCGCACCCTCCCGTAAGTCACTATGAGGAACACGAACCTCTTATGGTTGACATCGTAGTTGTGAGTTCGAAGTGTATTCGCATGCTAGGGCACGTGAGAGTGAGTGTTGAGTTTTTTTGAACGTTTGAAGATCGATAACGTGGCCAGGGTAATCAGGTGTGAGGCAATGACCGATGGCTGGTTGGGCAAAAACGATCAGTTGTAAGATAGTGAACAAACAAGAGGAAAGAAAATGCGAAGCCTTAGGATCAGGGCACATCATTGGTTGGGGATTTTGGTCAAGTCCGTGCCCCCCTCCCTCCCCCCCTCCCTCCGCTCCCTGAAAGGTGGCTTGATACAACCCTCCTCTGGTTCTCTTCTCCCTCTGATACGAACGAGCCGTCGAGCGGGGCGGGGACGAGGAAAACTTACCCAACGTCGAAAATTCCTCTCAGAAAGCGAATACGACACCCCTATAGAGTCCGTGAGACAAGGAAAATCGACTATCAAAAAAATATTCCCGGGCTCAGTACGACCCCCTCCCCTTCCCCTAGCGACCAAGCACGACCTCCTGTTGGGGTCCCCGACTTAGGCTATAGAAGCCTGGCAGGTGATCAAGCGGGTGGCGTTCGGAGCGTTGGGTAGGAAAAGAGACTGTTGGGGATTTGTACGACAATATGTATCGGTGTCAGAAATGCAAGAAGTCTTAGTAAATAAACGTGAGAGCTCAAGGAAAAAATTCTGTTGTATTTTCCAGGAAAGTTCACGGTGGAGCCGGGAACATGTGTGGTCCAGTTTTTGGAGACGAACCCTTACGTCACAGTTGGCACTGCCGTCGCTGCCTTCTACCTTCCAGTGACAATCTTGATCGTTTTATATTCACGAGTCTACTGGGAAACTCGGAAACGAAGGCGCGATTTTGGAAAACTGCAAGCTTCACAGGTACGTCTCTACCGTATTTCTTAGGAATTGCACTCAGGTTTTAGGTTGAGCAGAGAGCACTGCAGACTTTTTTGAAACCGTCTTTCTCTCAGTTGAATTAGATCTTTGGTCAACGATATATTGCCCGCTTACACGGATGACCCCCCCCCCACTGTTGATGGGTAAAACTGGCAGATCCAACATCTAAAAATAGGGGCAAGAATTGGTCAATTCCGTTTCGAGATGGCAGTGGTTATCAAGTTGGTGCTCTCGTAGATCTTGTTTTACGGCTTAGAGCGGACAATAATCAGAGGGGACTAGGTCTCCTGGATCTTTAAGAGTCGTCTTCGCCTAAGGCTGCATTCATACTTTGCCACAGCGTCTACCAGGGTCTACTAGCGTTCACTAGCGATGCACAACTGCTAAAGCTTGGATTTATGCAATTTAATGTACGGTGTGCAGTTGTGCGAGCACACGCCGCAGTTTCACGACGCCTAATCCGGCTGTTTGCTACCCTCCTACTTTCCCATACTCTCTACTCCCGGTCGCTGGTGAACGCTGCTGGAAGCTGGTAGACGGTGGCAGAAGCTATCGATACCTATTCCTCGAGACGCTGGTGGACGCTGGCGGACGCTGGCAGACGCTAGATCGATATCTATACTTTCCTAGTCGCTGACGCTGCCGGACGCTCGGAACGCCGGTGGTCGCTGGTGAACGCTAGACGCTGGTAGACGCTGCCGATGAACACAGCCTTAATCGGAAGATCACTGCTGTGGAAAAAGAGATATTTTGCAGTTTTAGGTAGTTTTTGAGAGTCCACCCGCTTTCTAAGAAGGAATTTGTATTACTGCCCGCCTGAGCTACTAATAGGGGCTTTAGGGCCAGTAGTATGATAATTAGGGACAGTATCAACGAATTAGTGGAGCATTCCATAACGATTCACCCAAAACATTGAAGGATCTTCTTTTCGTGAATTGCAAAGAAGATGTGCGCCTCATCCCTGAATATCTGTAGCGTGACATCCGTCTCACTTCATTTCAAAAAAAATCTAGAAAGAAAGGCTCATCGCGTTGTTTAGCGTTCGAATCAATCGAACGACTCAATTCGTACGCACAGATCAGTCTCACAGAGAATCAAAAAGAAGGTAACCACCTGTGCATGACTTTCCCTCTCTTTTGTCATGCCCCTCCACCTGCTCTCCACTACAACAAGCATGTCATTCATTTTTGAAAGTGGACTTTTCAGTTTTCTCGGAGATCAATGCGACGAGACACTTCAACAAATTCTTTTGCTAAGAATGAGCGAGCTTCTGTGAAGAAAGGCGCTTGGACCATAAGCGATCCAAAAAGGTTCGTCTGCAACTTTTTTAATCCTCCTAGGAACACCGCACAAGTTACGGGATTCAGTGGTGAAACAGGGGTATGTGGCAAGAGATTCGCCGCGCCAGTGGATGTCGCGTGCGACGTCGCGCCCGCTAATGACAACGATTTTCAGGTGGTATTGGTCGAGAATAGACAATGTATGACCAAAAATAGACATAAGTGTATACCGTGCTCTAGCATGGCATCGCGATTGCTGCCAATTGAAAGGGCTAGCCGGGGCGGGAACCAAAATTTTTAAAAAAAAAGGAAAAAGGGTTTCGGGCCCGGCAAAAAAAACCAAACTGCCGGGCGCGCCGACAACCGAAGCGGCAAAAATTGCGGTAGCTCTTGCCCTTCTCTCGTGGAACAAAGACATAGCAGCACTTCTTCTTCTTTTTTCTTTTTCATTCATTCTTTATTATCTTTTTCAACATCTAACAGGAACTGCGCCGTAATTCGGCCCGGGTGCTTATCAAAATTTGGAGATACATCTCGCGATTACCTGGTTGGTAGCATTCCTTTCC